TTTGTTACTATAAAAATATAATTGATGTATTCTTTTATTTAATTATATGGCGCAGATAGTCTTAGCTTGAGAATAGCATGACTTAATTTAAATTTCTTACTATTCTTTAAAATAATTTACCTACATTTTATACGATCGATTAAAATTTTTAAAAAGAAATTTTTAATTACAATTTTTCAAATTTTTGCATTTCATAGCAATCAAAATATAATATGTTATAAGAATAATTGATGAATAACTGTTACTAATAATGTTTATACAATCGTTTTTAAATTTAAAGCAACATAAACAATCTATTAATGCAGATATGTAGATATTATATTAGATATTAGTATATTCAAACTGTTGTTAGCAAACTCATAAAAAATAATGCCATTGAATATAAAAGTTTTAAGCAAGGTTCTACAAGTCCAGAAGAGTGAAACACAGTGATTATAGCAAATCTTTTCTGTTAACTGAAGAGATGTCAGCTCTAGTATTTTTCTGGCAAAGAAAATCACTAGTACTTTCAGCTGCTTCCAGATTAACATATTGATCTTTTTGGGATGGTAATGCAGACCAACACGTTAGGTAATGGCTTCTATTAAGGAGAAATGTTTATTTGTAGAGTATTTTACAAACGTCTCTTTATAGATAGTGCGAATTCGCTTTATATATTCCAAAAGCTTATAATTCTATATTGTAGTTACTCAAGAAAATGAATCTACTCAAGAAAATAAATTTTTGGTGAGTAGCCTTCCTGTGAAACGGGTAATATAGAATGTTTTTTAGTCTAATATATGTGTCGTGGCTCTACCGACACTTAAGAACGATATCATTTTGGTAGTCAAAAATAGTTAATAGTATTATTACTATTAATGTATAAATGATATGTATTTATTTAATAAAATGATTTAGTGATTTTTTGTAGGTGTTTATTTTCTTTTTCTCATATAATATATTTCTTACACAAATGATTTATCCTGATAATGATTTAAATCAGATATCCTGACTTAAATAATGTACTCGAGCCTTACCTGAAATTAAATCAGAAAATTCATTATTAGTACTTATATATAAAATATATAAAATTTAAATATTTTATCTAAATAATATTTAGCAGCTGATTTTTTGATCTAAAAAACAAAAACACAATTTAAATATAATACTTTATATTTTAAATGGGTGAGAAATATATATATATATAATATATATATTTTTTATGAACTTCATTGTTTTTTTTTGTGTTTCATTTCTCATATATCAATATCTTATTGTATCTTTTTGCAAAATAATTTATGGAACCAACTACGTTTTGCTTTTTTCACCACTTAATAAAAGAATATCTATCTGACAAGTTACGATAGCCTGCTTTAACATCTTAACAAGATGGAAGTCTGTCTAAGGACACAGAACTTCGACTCTAATGGGAGGTAACGAAAGAGAAGAATGTGTTTAAAACATTTTTTGACTTTAACTGCCTTTGATCTGAGCTAGAAGAAGTATATCTGGCTTATAACCCAGATTAATATTATAGCATATACAAAAAATCTACTATGGTCAAAGTGAGTTGATTGAGAGACGTTAGTCTGTTTACATCTATTTCTAAGATAAACAATTTTTAAGGTTTTATATGTTTTTACGGGTAGAGTTTCTTTGGTGTCCTATATCTTGGGTAATGTGAAAATCGCAACATAGTCTCTCAAACGATCTTTACTTTTCTTACACTGATTTATTCCACATTTATATCAAGTTGTCAGAAAACCGTGAGAATAATTACATGAATAAAACTTTTTTAAATTTCTATGTATCTCTATAATATCTATTTATCTAAATCTATAATAATCTAAAACTTACAAAAATCTATACATTTCCGAAGTTGCTATACACTATAATAATAAAGTTTCTAAAATAGAATAAAAAAATCTTAATTTTTCATATAAAAATCATACACTGGAGTATATAATAAAATAATTATACACTTAATAACAAATATTATAGACAACAAAAAACGACGCCCTTATCATTTATCAAAACGCCAAGCAAAGTCTCTACCCCTCATGTAATTATGGTAGGACGAAGTAGCAATCATGAGCAAAAACACAAATTAAAGCCAGGCGTGAGCGAACGGGGCATGTCTAGGAATAGAAAGACTAATGACCTGCTCCAACTAAGTGGCATACAATCAAAACTATGCACATATAAGTTTCAGCAAAATTGCTTACAAAATATCTTCCATGCAATAAAAGCTTACATATGTAAGTGCTACGCTGCTATCTCAAACGCAAATGTAAAGAGCAACTTTTCAGATGTTACTTGGGCCACCACCAGTAAAAGGAAGTGAAAAAGTGAAAAAGTGCAAAAGTAAAAAAGTGTAAAAGTGCAAAAGATGACGAAGTGGAAACTAGAGTAAAAATTTTGTACCTTGGAGTTGTAAGCACAAAAATAAGCAAACTAAAGGCGTCTAAGAAACGTCACTTAAAGGATATTTGGAAGTTGCAAGGAAGTTGCATGATTTCTCTAAGCACGCAACCATTGAATAAACTTAACAGGAATATTAGTCAAGGAGTTAGTAAAGTTCGCGGGTAAGAAATTTTATAACTAGGTAAACCGTAAAAATAAAAATACACAATTTACAAGTATAATAATAATAAAAGAAAATAAATTTATATAGATACATACATACAATATATATAAATAAATCTCAAGAGAAGCTTGTAAATCGCAAAAGGATGAAGGATATATAAAATAAATAATGAAAAGAAATTCAATATATAGGAATTAAGGTCAAATCACAAATGCTGCATATATTTTTGCCAACAGTGTTGTTGTATTTGCATTTGTTGCAATTTAAGTTTTAAAAGTTGCAACCTCACAGTAGCAACATTTGATGCATTTTAGTGGCAACGAGTGGTACGCCAACAACAACAATCCTAACAACACTAACGACAATTGATGACATTTTTTTCTGACTCATATTTTACCCTTTAGCACTTTTGTTGCTATTTTAAGAGTATAGTATAGTATATGTGGTGCTAGATACTTCCTGTTACCATTGTTGTTAGTGCTGTTTCTGCTGGAGCAAAAAGCTGATGATTATAGCGATGGTGGCAATAGTTTGGTATAACGTTTATATGACACAAAAACCGGTACAGGATGCACAAGTTCCACACTTTTTTATTTTTAACATATATGTTTTACAGTCTTTTTATACTATTCTTCATAAGAAAAAACCAAAATAAAAATAAAATATGGCATAGAAGTAACAGTGTGAATATCCTTTTTGTGTCTTTAGTAAGTATGTTTTATGATTTTTTTTTCCAATCCATGAAAGATATACGAGTATGCATGCACACATGTCAACCTAAGTAGAAAATGAATGAACTTTTCTGTTGTCTCAAATTGTTTCTTTTAAAACTTTTCTTTTGGAAAAAGCGCAAATTTTAAGAGGAGAAATATGAAAAGGAAAAACCCTTATCAGGATTGATGAGAATTTGATGATAATCACACTTTTTATTAAAACAACCCGGTGTGCAAAATAATGCTTTGAAGTTTAGCTTTATAATTTTTTTTATTTTTTATTTTTATATATATATTTTGGAAAAAAAATTAAATAATAAAAGAAAATATAGGTCGAGAACAGCGTTGACAAAAACTTTAGAAAATAGTTCGTTATTTAAAAGCTTAAAAATGGTAAAAGGAGATAAAAATTAAATATGTCACAACACACAAGACTATTTTTATAGTGGATATAACCCTTGTTGTTGGAATGCACCGAATCTTGTAAAAACTGTGATGCAAGCAATATAAATTTTTCCTAATTTCAAAAGCATTCAATATTGATTATATATATAATAATGAAAAACGATAAAATTGTAAAGATAAAGATAAAATTGTAAGTCAGGATTAGAGTGGAACATATTACAATCATATATAACATATAGAAGAAATTAAGACTCATTAAGATAAAACCACTAATGCCTTGTTTGCACTATGTCATTTTAAATAACAATTATAAGATTGCGAATATGACATCTTACGACATATTCGTTTTCATTATACTGACAATATTTGACATTGAAAATGACAGTGAAAACGTGGCATAAGAATCCTAAATATAGATGAACGAGTATATTCATCTATTAGCAATATGTAGTAGGAACCTGAGTATTATTATTGCAAACTAGAATTTATAATCAATGGACTCAATCAGTCCAAAAATGTGTTAATTCAGATCGCAGTACTTTTCACTTGTACTGCATGCAGGAGAAAATGTGATTTCTAAAATCAATATGGTTAAAAATGATTTTAGTCAGAAACATATGAAACTGCAATTATACATCCACTTCTAGAGAACTTTATACATTTCATCACCACTTAAAGGTAGCTCTATTTTGTTAAAGAGAAACATAGTAGAGTACGACTACTATTCAATCAGAAATGTTAACTTTTATTAACCAATACCGAATCTTTAACTTTTCAAAAAAAATCGGATACTGACTTGTACGACATGACTCTTCACACATACCAAACTAGATCCACAGATAAAATATTAAACGCAAATGTGGCTAGATAGGACAAACTTCCAGATGACCAAATTGTAATATTGTTCGACTCAACTAGAACTGAGTCGGAACTGGAACTGGCA